TTAAATGGTTCTCCAATCAAAACATCATGAAAACCACCTTCCGGTTTTGTCTTTTGGTGAAAACCACCCGTGTACGGTGTTGACTTGGTCAACCATGGTTTTTACCTTAACGACGTGGTTTTCAACTTACAAAGCTTGTTTTGACATCACAATACATTAAATAAGTGTTTTAAATACTTAGTTTTTACTTTGGAGAACTTTGCATTTTTCGGTCGGGTTTGAGCGCCAGTCGGCTAGGCCATGGTTCTGGGCTAGCCTTCTACCCAGCGATGGTAGAGTTTACCCATGCATGGGTAAGTGATCCCGGGATTCCAGAATCATGCCACCCAGCGATGGGAAGATCTTCCCATCGATGGGTAAGCAGTCCCTTAGCCAAACCAATTTCCAGACCCATGCCAAACAGCGATGGGAAGTTCTACCCATCGATGTTAAAGCCTTGGTGCAACATTACCACAAGGCAGAATGCTCTTACCCAGAGATGGGAAGCTTCACCCATCGATGGGAACCCAGCGATGGGAAGGCTTAACCATCGATGGGAAGGCATGACCGTTGGGAGTCATTTAAGACTGATTCTTTCCTTATTTGAAAGTCAACCTCCCACCCAGCGGTGGGAAGCATTTACCCATCGATGGGTAGGTGACTGTTGGCTTCAAAACTGAAGGAAATTTGGCTTACCAGCGATGGGTGAGTCTAAACATCGATGGGAAGCCAATATCCTGCAGATCCCAAATTTATTCAATCCCTTAAATCAAGCCAATCACCCCTTTAATGCATTGGTCCGCTGGAGCCTATTTTGGCACTATAAAAAGGGGTGTTTGGGTCTGCTTTTCTCATCAATTCACTTCACAATATTCATATTATCATTGCATCCAAACAACATTATTTTCCATAGCTTTCTAGAGCCAATTTGTGAAGTTTGAGTTGTTCTTGAGCGTATATAGTTTACTCAACATCTACTCTTAAAGAGAGTCTTGTTCTTGAGTGTTCTTAGTGTTGTAAACACGTTTAGAGAAGCTTGTTTCCCTTGGTTGTACGAAGGAAAGGTATTTTCCTTCGGGTTGAAGTCTTGGAGTGCGGTATCTCCGAGCAAGTGTATTGAGGCTCGTGGGACTCGAGTTCTCAGGTTGTAACGGTTTGTTAAGCACCCGTAAGCTTTACGGAAGTAGTGTAGCTCGAGAGAGTCTCTCAGGAGGCTGGATTAGCCACAAGTTGTGGTGAACCAGGGTAAATCTTGGTGTGCTCCCTTTACTCCTTTTTATTCCGCTCTTTACTTTATTCCTGCGATTTTTATTCCGCGAAAATTTATAAACATTCTCGTGCCTCACTATTCACCCCCCCTCTAGTGAAGGGCACTTATTCTAACAAAAACTCAACTTTTCGGATAATCCAGTGATCCGATCCGAAAAATCGGATATCCAAATTTCGGATATCCAAATATTTTCGAATCGGATATGGAATGAGTTTTGCATGATCCGAAATTTTCGGATATCCGACTTTTCGGATCGGATCGGATCAATCCGATTGAACACTCTTACTAGTGACATCTAATTTGAGACGAAGAGAATACTGGTATTTAGTGTGAATGAAATCAATTGCTCCCTCCGTCCTAAAACTTTCTTCCCAGAGCATTATTCCAACTTCACGGAAATATATATTTATTTGTGTTTTTTCATGGCCTATATGATAAAATAAAATATTCTTGTCACCATTTGTTTTGTTGAATTTTTGATGTAGTTTTTAAATATGTATGTTTTATTTTTTATTTCTATACCAATATTTAAATAAAATAGATTGAAAAAACTTAAAATTTTTCTTCATTTTGCGTAACGAGACGAAAGTTTTAGGACGGAGGGAGTAATATCTACATCTACCACAAAGTTCCACAAGCAATTATTTCGAAGCAGCCAAAGCACATGCGTGATAGTCAAAAAAGCAAAACATGTGATCCATTAAAAAAACAAAGTACGGAGTATTTATTTAGGGCCATTTGGGCCTATGCATCCGACAAATTGTAGACTAAAAAATTGAGTAAAATTTATAATTGATTTTTTATTATAGGGGTTTTTATTTTTAGTCATCTATTATTAAATATTACTCATGTAGTTCTATTTTAAGGGTGTCTTTCCACAAATAGTCTTTTTTTTATCTTCTGCCATGTTGGAGTTAATTTAAAAACTAACCGTATGATTTGACATCAACATTATGTCTAGTGACGTGTTCTGATATTGGTTAAACAAATTACACAAAAATAATGACTATGATTGTGGACTAGGATTCTGACGAAAGACTATATTTGTATACTATTGTTGTAGTAGAAAGCGATTGTAATTCACAAACAACGAAAACAGAACAGCCTTTGGAATTGTGTATGATAAAAAAGATATATTATTATTATTGTGAAATTACACTTTTAGCCCTCAAACTAACACCAACATGATGGAAGATAAAAAAAGACTATTTGTGGAAAGATACTCATAAAAGAAGGACCATTGGGGTGATATTCGATAATAGATTACTAGATAGGGAAACTTCCCTATTATAAGGGACTAATTATGGAATTTACTCTAAAAAATTCAATTTTAAAAATAAAATTTAGGGTAAGGCTATAGGAGCATAATAGGATGCTCCTAAATGGTTACTGTCATGGTTGTATCTAAATTTTGCACAGACGATACATGTGATAATCATCTATGCAACAGAGATGATACTCATTTGTCCGAAGTTTGGGGGTACTAACTTAGAAGAGTGGTGATTTTGTTCATTTAAGATCCATGTTTAATTCCTGAACTCTCTCACGGAAGTTCTAGGGCTAAGAAACTAATGTGAAAAAGACGTGTTTCACCCAAACTAATGTGTCTAATCATAATCGTAACTCCAATCGTAATCCTAATATTTAAGAGCTCAAACCATTAAGGTTCATATAATTGAAATAGGCCTCATGACCATAGATGTATTTGCCAGCATAGAAATATACGGGTATTAGTTGATACTTCCTCTGTCCTGCCATACATGCATTACAACATTTTTTTTCTTATATTAGGTAATTTAATATTATTCGTGTATTTTCATTAATTTTTTTTGTATTTTCTTAACCAAATTTTGAATAAAATGAATTTAAAAAATACAAAGTCTTTATTTGTCATCTCTAACCTAACCTTCCTTTGTTACACTTTAGCTAACAACTAATCTCTCCATTTCCCATAAATTTTCTCAAACACTATACATATATATGCCCAAATTTAACGCATTTTGTTTATTTATTTTTTACTACTCATTTCATAAAATAAGGAATATAGTGTTGACGTTTCTTGTTTTGTACTCCCTCCGTTTGGAAAAACACTTCCCATTTGGATTTGGGGCAAAAATAAGGAAGTGTTAAATTATAGTTGATTTCCAATTTTGCCCCTGATGTGATGAGTAAAAGTAAGATGTGATGGATAGATTATTAGAGAAAAAGTATGATGCGATATGTAGGGTATGAAAAAGTAAGGGTAAAAGTGGTTTTTTAATAGAAAAGGGAAGTGTTTTGTTGGAAGTGGAAAAAATGAAAGAGGAAGTGTTTTTGAGAACGGAGGGAGTAGAACTTTTCATACTCCTTCCGTTTGCAAAAATGCTTCCTATTTTGACTTGGAGCAGAAATAAGAAAGTGTTAAATTATAGTTGACTTCCAATTTTGCCCTTGATGTGATAGGTAAAAAGTAAGATGTGATAGATAGATTATTAGAGAAAAAATATGATGTGATAGGTAGGGTATGAAAAAGTAAGGGTAAAAGTGGTTTTTTAATAGAAAGTGGAAGTGTTTTGTTGAAAGAGAAAGTGTTTTTGAGAACGAAGGGAATATAATTTTTTTACTATGAGTATAAAAATTTTATTTTTTTATTTTATACCTGCAATCAAATGAATTGAATCACAAATAAAACTAGTCAAAGCTCGTAACGTGTAATAAGAAGATTTATGGACCGAGGGAGTATATTATATTGCTTTGACTATTATAGCTAGCATACTATTTACTCCCAGTATATTAATTATTGTAGAAATCATCCTAAATAGGACTAAAACATAGAGAAAAGTACCAAAATAGGACTTTCATGTTTTTTCTCCCGGAATAGGACTTTGCACTGTGGTAATGTGACTTTGCATTGTGGTAATGTGGCAGTGTACATGTGCAAATTACTATACTTTTTTGGTAATGTATATGACCATGTTTGGTAATGTAAGTCCTATTTCGGGATTAAAAACATGGAAGTCCTATTTTGGTATATTTTCAATGTTTTAGTCCTAGTTTGGTCTTTCTCCCTAATTATTGTTACACTTTACTCCCTCTGTCCCAAAATATTTACAACATTTGCTTTTTCAGCAGTCGCGGGAACTTTTGTTTATTTCTACGTTTTCATTGGTTATTTGATAAAATAAAATATTCTTGACATCTCTTATTTCGAAGAATTTTTTATGTAGTTTTTTTATATGTAAATTTTATTTTTTATTTCCATACCAATATGTAAATAAAATAAATTGAAAAAATTTGATATTTTGTCTCGGAAATACAAATGTAGCAAATATTTAGGGACTGAGGGAGTATTATTTTATACTCCGTATTTAAGAAACTACTCCCCCCGTCCAAGAGTATTTGTCCACTTTCATTTTTACACACCATCCAATGCACTTTTTTATTTCATTTTATTTCGTAATTTGTATATTAAAAAATTATAGAAATTATATATTAATAATCTACTCCCTCCGTCCCAAAAAGATTTACATGTTTTAAAAAAATTGTGTCTCACAATCCCTTACCAATTTCTATTAAAAAATTACTTTTACCCCTTACTTTTTCAAACCCTACCTATCACATCATACCTTTTTCCTAATAATCTACACATCACATCCTACTTTTACCCATCACATCAAGGGTATTTTTGGAAAGTCAACACAAAATTATCCCTCACTTAATTTCAACTTTAGTCAAAATGGCTAACACTTTATGGGACGGAGGGAGTATATGTTAAGACAAATCAAACAAGATCACACATGACTATATTTAGGCTTACACATTGAGAGAATTTGATGAGTCAAAGTGTGTAAATGAACAGTTCCAAAAGTAAAAAATGAACAAATATAGCGGGACGGAGATAGTACTCCGTAAGTAATACTTTGCAAGTATACCGCCCATCGACATTAGTTGGGGGCTAATAGGGTTATAACAGGGAGGCTGGAAATTAATGGTTTAAAAGATGATACTCCCTCCGTTCCAAAAAGATTTTCCTGTTTCATTTTTGTGCGTCTCATAAAACCCTTCTATCCCGCCTCAAATGCAAAAAAAAACTTTCAAAACAACTTCTACTTACAATAAATGAGAAATGTGATAAATTTTAGGCATTTTAGATATGCATAGAAGTGTTTTATAGGATGCGCAAAAAATAAAATAGGAAGATCTTTTTGGGACGGAGGAAGTATAATAATACAGAGTGTTTAATTTTATGAACCGAATATAGTAAGGACTTCAATTTGTATGTGTTGATATGGTTAAAGAGTGTCAAAGTAAACAAATATCTTCTTGTTTTAATTAATTTTCATTGTTTTTCTTAATTGGATTGGGAGAATAATTATATTATATTGAAGGTACATAACGTAACGTACCATGACACCATAGGCCAAGAGTTGAATGCCACTGTTGCCCAGGGAGACGGCGGCGAGTTGGAGATTACCCAAATGCCCACAGAATATCTGCGTCGACATCGACGTCACATTGTTCAGCAAGTACACCACGATCGCCGGAGCCGCCAGCCGGAACAGGTTGCCAAGCTCCACCCCGGCGGCCCTCCGCAGTCGCCCGAGTTTCGAAAAACTCCGGTCCGACAGCGCCTCTTCCAGCTCCGAGCTTATTATTTCTCCGCCCCCCGCCGCCGCCGCGGTGGCCTGTTTGGACTCCGACAGCAGTCTCTCGTTCAGCTCTCCATTATTATTATCTTTATCTTTATTGGTGCTCATTATTATTAATATAATGGAGTAATAATAATAATAATAATATTATTATTATTATTAGACCCCCTAATTAACTAATGAAGTCAAGTGCCTATCGCCCACTTCTTCAATACCTTTTTACGGAGTATATATATAGAGACTAGAGAGAGTGCATGAATCATGATCGACCAGGCAATGGGTCAACTGGCCCCGGAAGGAATCGCAATTTCCATGTCGTGACTAGTCAATTAATTAATAAAACAATTCGACTCCATCCAATTGGATGAATATATGAAAAACAAATAAGCTCCGTCTAAACATTATGTTCCATTGTACTCCGTATGTTACAATGTTTAACTGAAGATATTTTCAAATTATTTTATTTAAAAATTGGTGTGGAATAAATAAATATAAAGTTTACATAGTCTTCAATACATCTCTTTAATTTGTAAATGGTTATGATCGAGAGAACATAAGGCATTGTTTGTCTCTTTAACTGTTGTAAAATTATGATCGATGATTTAGAAGTATATTTTAAAAATAAATATCTTCATACGGAGTATTAATTATCTATCACAAAACAAGAAGAAAGGCATAGGTAGGATAGATAGATGGAACATAAATACTCCCTCCGTTCCACAAAATCTTTCCTCTTTCGTTTTTTTTGCTTTCCACAAAAAACTTTCATTTTCTATTAAAAAACCACTTTTACCGCTATTTTTTCATACCCTACCTATCACATCATACTTTTTCACTGATAACCAAACTATCACATCTTACTTTTTCCCATCACATCAGGGACAAAATTGGAAAGTCAACCAAAATTACACTTTCCTTATTTTTTCCTAAAGTCAAAACCGGAAGGATTTTGTAGAACGGAGGGAGTATATAATACTCGTAATATGTTATCCTGCAAAAAAAACAAAATACTCACTCCAAATATGTGTAAAATCAAAGTGCATTCTACGTATATGATTGTGTATTTACAAGCAGTGAAAAATCAAAGTGAATCCATTTTCCTAAAAAAAGAAGTGAAACCGTTTTTGACCAAACCATTTTTTTAAAAAAATGAAACCATTTTAATTTGATTAATACAGCTAGCGCGTATGTCCTGTCAATATTTATTTGTTCATTTTGATTATTTTGTATGTAGAGAGTTAAAATTGACATTTACGCTATGTTTGTTTCAAGAAATTTAGAAGAAAAGAAAAAAAATAGTTTTTCCTCATTAAAATGGGAGGAATTAGGTTTTCTTTTCTCTTAGTACATTTTTTCTTTTTATTTTCTTTTTCTTCCACTTTTTTTCTTTTTCTCTCTAACCAAACAAGAAAAATATTTTTCATCTCATTTTCTTTTCTTTTCCCTCTTAAATTCTTTTCCATTTTTTTTCTTTTTCTCTTTAACCAAACTAGAAAAACAATGACTTACCATGGGAAGGAATGTCACTCCACTCACTTGCTGAACTTATTTTGATTGGTTAAAATACTAAACATCAGTGTGTCATTTCATTTTTACTTGTCATTGCTCATGCTCTTAATACTCCGTATCAACTAAATAATTGAAAATGAAATATGTTCATAGGCCAACTAAAAAGACATTATGGAGAACAAAAAAGTCTCAAATGGTCTTCGTAAACAATCAAACCCAATCATATCTTTTTGTACTCTGGCCACTTGAGTTACATTTATTACTAAGAACAAATTATGCTATAATTGATGGATACATAATTACTTTTGGTTTTTAAAATCTTTATTAACTCTTTGTTAATCACTCCAAAAACGAACGCGTAATAATATACTCCTTTCGCCCTATAAAAAACTTCATACTTTCTATTTGGGGTATTCTGAATAAGCGAAATCTATTTACCCATATTTATTAGTACCTTATCAAAAAGTGAATACAGAGATAAAAAAATGTTTTTTGTCAAACAAATTCACACTCCAAAGTTAAACCATATTACTATTTCTTAAAACCACATAAAGGTGAAAGATGGAGTAACTTTTTGGGAGACCCCCAAATAAGACTTTAATACGTTTATATCTTCAAAATAAGATCTATAATGTCAATAATATCGACATACTCCCTCCGTCCCAGAAAGCCTTTCTCTTTTTTTTCATCCATTCCAAAAAATATTTTTCATTTCTATTAAAAAGTCACTTTTACCCCTTACTTTTGCATACTCTACCTATCACATCATACCTTTTTACTAATAATATATCCATCAAATCATACTTTTACCAATCACATCAAAGGACATTTTTGAAAATTTAATACTCCACCAAAATACACTCCCCTTAAATCCCTTTTCAAAACCAGAACTCATATGTTTTCCGGGACAGAGGGAGTATAATATTAAAAAAATACTATAGAATACTTATTACTCCCTCCGTTCCACAAAACCCTTCCGGTTTTGACTTTGGGGAAAAATAAGGAAAATGTAATTTTGGTTGCCTTTCCAATTTTGCCCTTGATGTGATAGGAAAAAGTAAGATGTGATAGTTTGGTTATTAGTAAAAAATTATGATGTGATAGGTAGGGTATGAAAAAATAAGGGTAAAAGTGCTTTTTTAATAGAAAGTGGAAGTGTTTTGTGAAAAGAAAAAAAAACGAAAAAAGAAGAGTTTTGTGGAACGGAGGGAGTACAATACATTACTTCTATATACTCTCTCCGTTCTATAAAACCCTTCCGGTTTTGACTTTGGGGGAAAATAAGGAAAGTGTAATTTTGGTTGACTTTCCAATTTTGCCCCTGATGTGATGGGAAAAAGTAAGATGTGATAGTTTGGTTATTAATGAAAAAAGTATGATGTGATAGGTAGGGTGTGAAAAAGTAGGGGTAAAAGTGGTTTTTTAATAGAAAGTGGAAGTGTTTTGTGGAAAGCAAAAAAACGAAAGAGGGAGGGTTTTGTGGAACGGAGGGAGTATTTTAAAGATAAAAATATGTCACTTCTAATATACTCCCTCCGTTCCCTTGTATTTGTCCACTTTCATTTTTACACACAATGCAATACACTTCTTAAATTCATTTTATCTTGTAATTTGTATATTAAAAAATTATATATTAATAATCTATATGTTAAGACAAATCAAACAAGATCACACATGACTATATTTAGGCTTACACATTGAGAGAATTTGATGAGTCAAAGTGCTTAGATGAACAGTCCAGAAGTCAAATGTGAACAAATACAAGGGGACGCAGGGAATAACATGGAGTAATAAAAAAATTAGGTTTTGTAAAGATTAACAAAATGAATGGGGGGCACAGTGGGCCTCATTGTACTATAGACTTGTGTGGATTTGAACCCGACCCAAGCCCACCTAACAACACAACATGATCATAGCAGCCGGTGTCAAAATAAGGTAAGCAGTGACATCATCGGAATGGAAACTGTAGCAACAATAATGCAACCTTGTTCATTTGTTTTTGTCCATAAGTGTTAACAACATCTGCAAATTGGGAGATTTTTTTTATATTTGCAAAGCAATGGGTCATTAGATACTAATTAATCGTTTTGAAAAAAAAAGATATTAATTAATCTTTTTTTTTCTTCTGAATCTTGACATGATAAGATATTGTCCTAAGAAATTCAACACATCAACCAATTAGTTGATAGGTACTCCACTACTCCCACCTTGTGTGCCATTTTAGAAAAAAATTAATAATACTCCCTCCGTCTCAGAGTATTTGTCCACTTTCATTTTTACATATCATCCAACGTTCTTCTTTAATCCATTTTATCTCGTAATTTGTATATTAAAAAATTATAGAAATTATATATTAATAATCTATATGTTAATACAAATCAAACAAGAACACACATGACTATATTTAGGCTTACACATTGAGAGAATTTGATGAGTCAAAGTGCTTAGATGAACAGTTCCAAAAATCAAATGTGGACAAAAACAGGGGGACGGAGGGAGTAGAAAGGTAGGTGCTGAGGAAGAAGAAACACAATGATGGAAGTGGGGTTGCTAAAGAAGAAAAAAGAGGGATTCTCAATAAAAGAGATGATGTGGGGTCAAAATTAAATATTAGAAACATATAAAATTACAATTGACCCAAAGTGACATGGTAGAAATAGGCTTTAGATACTTTTTGTGAAAGTTTCTTCAAATTTAATGTATTTTTGCAAGAAGAAATGAAGTTTGGTTAAGCAATTATGCCTAATCTTTTGAAGCGGCCAAAACAATCATCACGAATCTTCTTTTAATTTTTAAGGGAACTTTTCTTTTGTTTTTAAAATGTCTTCAATCGTCTTAGGACATTAAACACTATGATCATTATCTTTTTTGCGAATAAAAAAATTTAATTTGAACATGGTGGACAGTGTCAATGTCATAGAAGACGTTATTGCATAAAATCGAGGTCATTGAGATTACAATTTATAAACAATAGACCACAAAGGAAAGTGGGCAATAGTGTTTGACAAAAGACTTTAATGAACATACTTTTTATTAGACAATTAATATCATGTTCATCCGGCCAGGGACATTATTTGAGATGATTGTTGGCGGCGAGTGGAGCGATGAACGGCGGATGGCAACTGTGTACGGCTGGCGGTGGTGGCCAACAGTCGGCTGATGGGCGGTATGTACCTGGCAAAACAGAACCGGAACCGATTACCCGAACCGAAATATCCGAAACCGAAACCGAAATGACCCGAAAAATGAAGATCCGATCTATAACCGAAAACCCGAAATGATCCGAATCGAACTGAAACCGAACTAAATAATTCATATCCGATATAAATCCGAAACCAATAATATTCGAACCGATTAAACCCGAAACCGATTCGAAACCGATAATACCCGAAACCGATAAAACCCGAAACCGATTATATGCGAAACCGATTATATCCGAAACCGATTAGAACCTACATAGATAATTTTGGAAGTATGTTTTCCTTTCAATAAGCATATTTGCTTTTAAAATTTTACTTTTATTTTACCATTTGAACTAATTATATTACTTGCTCATTCCCTCATAAAATGGATTACATGTTTTAGAAATATTACAAAAAATAGAGCAAATGAGCAATAAAATAGACATTGTAATTGGATTACTTAAAGAGTTATTCTCTTATTTATTTAATGTGAGTTTTATTTTTTAATATAATACGGAGTACCATTTTTAAATAGCTATACTTATAAAAAAAGTATGCAAGTCAGTGCAAAGCACGAGATAAAAACTAGTTGCTTCGACTCATCTTCCCCAAAAAGTGGTAACACAATCCTAATACGATTTGCATTTATCTTTTATCTTTTTATTTGTAAAGATAAAACTAATGATATTAATAAATTTGTACTAAATAATACTAAAACATAATTACTTTCTTAATCTAGGATTTAAACTTTTTTATTCCTTAGAGAGAAGTTAATAATGTCTTAGTGGGAGGAATAATGCCCAGTAATAAATTAATAATGGACATTTACTTGAATAATGACTAATTAATAATGACCAAAAGTCCTACATTGGGAAATAAAAACATATGGTCCTATATTGGAAAAGTCATTGTGTTTTAACCCTATTTAGGTAAATTACTCATAATATTATTTGAAGTGATAAAATTTTAATATATCAAAACTAAATTTTAAAATTAATATTATGATATTAAATTTATATCATCATAAAATATATTTTTTCATAATTTGTAGTCCACTCGATCGAATATATCCGAAACTGAAATATATCCGAACCGGACTAGACCCGAAACCGAAATATATCCGACTCAAATCGTATCAGAATCAAAATCTATCCGAACCGATTCATAACCGAACCGTATCTGAACTGACTCGAAACCGAACCGAACCGAAAAATGTATAGAACCGAAATCAAATCCGAACCGAAATTTAACCGATCCGAACCGAACCGAACCGATTATACATATAACCGAAAGATATATCCGAACCGAAAAAGTTCAATCCGGAACCGATCCGGTTGATCCGATTGCCACCGCTATATGTACGTAGCGGTCGTGTTATAGATAAAACTATAGATTAGGGGTTTAAATCTAAAAGGGTATTTCGGTACATTGATAATAACAATAAATTAATTATAAACTAATTAGATCATAATTATGGAAATAAAAAGACATGGTCCTATTCAGGGAAAATGACTTTGTTTTACTTTTATTTGAGTAAATTTCTCCTTTTTTTAATCATGCATAACATCCCGTTGATATTTTTTCTTAAAAACTTAAGGACATCATTTTTTATATTAAATAAATAAAATAAAAGTAGAACCTAGTGTTTGAATAGTCATATTTGTGTTGAAATTGCCAATGACAATTTAACAATGGTTAAAATTAATTGAATATGTATTATTTTTTAAAAAATACTACACCTGTTTATTCACTGCAAACAATTTATTTTGGAAAGAATTTTACACGGTATTATAAAAAGAAATGAAAATATGAGGAAATGGTGGCTCAATCTTATCACAATTTCTACATCCGAAAAGTTAATGAAATACCGCTAGCATATATAGAAGGGTGAACTCTATCTATACGCTTAAATTTTTGGGTTAGAAAGTGGACCCTGACTTTATATGCAAATTGTTAATTTTACCCGACATGGCCGACAATCTTCCCATTGTTTTTGACCCGCCAGGCAGTGTACTGCCAGGGTAGGGAGGGAGCGGGAGGGGGGGCTGGGTTGGGGGGGCAAGGGTGGGCTGGGGTGGGGGGTTTAGGGGGAGGGTTAGGGGGGTAAGAACCGTCGTTTTTACAAACGAAGCACCGTAGGTACCCCAAACAAACTGGTGTAAGTAACTGGTGTCATTTTAGACGTTCCTCTGTGTATGTGTGTGTGTATATATATGTGTGTGTGTGTGTGTGTACACACACACACAGAGTATATAAATAGTTATTGACTCAAGTGAGATGACAACTTATGGTGAGATGACATGCTTGGGTGAGATGACACAAAGTTCACCACATTACAAGCTCATCAATGGACAATACAAAACTCACCTAGAAATAAAGTAAAGCTCACCACTTTGAACACTTAAAATCATTTTTTTAACTTTGAAAATTAAAAATTAATAAAAAATAAAATAGCAACACTGGTCAACCACTGGTCAGCGGCGGCGGCAGGCGGCGGAGTAGTGGCGGTTGCCAGCGATCGGCGGCGGAGCAATAGCAGATTCCAGCGACCGGCGGTGGCCGGCGGCGACAGGTGGCGGTCAAAGGTCTCGGTCAACGGTCAAAGTCTAGTCAGCACCCCTTTCTTTGATTTTATTTTTTCAAAAAAAATTCAAAGTGTTAAAAAAATATGGTGAGCTTTGTAGTTGTCCTTGATAAGCTTTGCAGTGGCCAATGGTAAGCTTTGCGTCATCTGACCGTAACATGTCATCTCACCATAAGATGTCATCTGACTGGAGTTAATCCTATATATATATATAAAGCCCATTTCATTTAAGGCCCAGTTCACCCACCCCTTACCTTACTTCTATCTCTTAGCCTAATGATTTTATATGTTATTTTTTTGATTTGGATGAATTGATTTGAATTTGTTATTTTAGATATATTTATATAAAATAATTGAAAAGTGAAAAAAAAACTAATAAATTGACGAACTGATATGAATTTATGATTTATAAAAAAAATAAAACTGAAAAAGAAAAAAACAATTAAAAAAAGAAGTAAAGATGTGATCAACCAATTTGCTTTCAAGAATGCAAGGAGAACTTCTCGAATCCTCGACTAGCTTTTACGGTATGTAATTATAATACTATAATTTTGTCATTTATTATTCTCTTCTAATAATATTGCGTTAATTATAATTTAAATATAATTAGTTACATATGTGAATGTGTTAGAGCACTAAGGATAAGATTTTTAGGGTTTTTTTTCTGTTTCGGCCCAGGCACATGAATCATCAGGGCCGACCCTGTCTTAGATTTTGTAGTTTCACATTGGGAATATGTTTTTTAGCCTTGGATTGTACCAATTCCCAATAGGATTTCTGGTAATCTCGTATATTTTTATTTATTATTTGATAAAATAAAATATTTTTAGTATATTTTGTTTTTATAAAATTTTTGATATACTTTTGAACGATATTAATTATAGTTCTTATTTCTAGTTCAATTTATAATTAAAATGATTTTAAAAATAATTAAGTGACAAACATGGTGGAAGGAAGAAATTATGGAGTATTAGTACAAAAACATCAAAATAGAATCATGAACTGAAGTAATAAAATCAATCCTTTACAAATCAATCCATTCAAAGGAACATTAAAAGAAAAGGATAACTCAGATTCCATACAATGCTTCAATTTTTATTGTTCAGTATCATCAAATCAAACCTTAGTACAAATACAACAACAAGAAGAGCCAGAGAAACCATACCGGGAAGAAGAATCAAGAACGGGATTGGGAGAAAACGGGGGAAACAGCAAAGAGCTTCTTGCTGAGGAGGCACCGGGGACGGGGATTCTTGATTCTCAGATCGAAGCAGGGAAGGTCTTCCATGGTTGGATTCTCCGGCGGAGGGGACGAGCTGTGGCGATTCTCCTGCAACAAGGAAATTAGGGTTCCGGCATCTCGGGTTCTGGATTTGGACTTGATCCTGGAGTTCCTGATCTGGGCTAGATCCCCGGGCTTCAAGAATTTGTATCTGATTTGGGGGTTTCTGGTTCTTGATGGTTTCGTCTTCTTCTTCATTTTTCTGGAGAAATTTGAGCGGCGCAGAGAGAAGAAAGAAGAAGAAGAAGAAGAGGATGAATTCGATTTTGGGGTTTTCGATTCAAGTAGAGAGTTTGGGCGGCGAGAGAGAGAGTGATGGGCCGACCGTTTGAGGTTACGGATATGGGGCCATTTTAATGGGCTTTCTTGTCTAGTTTTATGCGAAGTATTCTGTATTTGTTATATATGGGCTTTTAGCCTGTTAATATGTATTGGTCTTTGATTTTTCATACGGAAAACAAAAAAAGAGTCCATTTATTAGTACTTTAGGGTGGAGTATATTTTTTAGGAAAATATATATTCTTCAGGAGAAAATAATTTTCAATGAGGGAGGAGTATCGGGGGACGGGGGTGGAGAGTGTTGGTGCGGGGTGGGGGCACGGGAGTAGACGAGGGCAAGGCATGAAGACGTCGATGTTAGGAGGCAGAGTCTGCAGGCGCATGGGTGGGGGTGGGGACGTGAAACGTGTGTTAAGAGTTGTAGAAGTTTCTCCTTGAATAAATGAACGTTAAATAAAAGTAATTAGAGTCGATTAAGATGTTGTTTAATTAAATAGTGAATATAACATGTTAAAGATGCTAGGAAAGAACATATACTAGATTGTTTTTGAGATTTCTTGAAAAAAAGTAAATAAATGAAAAATCATACATTTATAACAAAGAAATAATTAAATCAAATTGAAAAATCATGAACTGAATATATATCACCCAGAGCGATATATATTAAGTTTTTTTTAGATTTTTTGAATTAAGTAGTATGATTATTTTGAAATTTTGGTTCAAATTAATTTTCATAATCTAATTTTTATGTAAATAAATAAAACTTGTTAACAAATTTTCATAATCAAATATACGAGTATATTTGAGTATAACTAAATTAATACAGGGTATTAAAGACAAGTGCGATCCTTTTTATTTATATTCACTTTGTTCAAAAAGAATCTTTCGATATACTATTCACATGATTTAATTTTATTTGTTTGTTCTCATTACTTATTTTATAAAGTAATATCCGAATGTAGATATGACACCTCTTGATTCGTTAAAGTTTTTATATATATTTTTAATTTTGCACCTACAGTCAAATAAATTGAATCAAAATTAAAACCAATCAAGCTTTGGAAAGTATAATGGAATATTTATCTTAAACAAGAATGAGTAACAAACTACATAGATAGTGAGTTCGTTTGGAAATAGCGTTTTAGATAAAAATTTAACGGTGCAGATTAACTATGAAAGCAGTTAGCGCTACACGCTCTTCGTAGATAGTCTTGTCAAAACACTAACACTAATTTCTAACGTTATTATCATACAAATCCACTATGCCACACATCTGATCTCGTTTTTAAAATTTTTATCCGGACCAAACCAGAAAAAAACTGGTCCAAGTCGATCCGGACTGGAATCTTGATTTCTGGTCACTCGCCTTTACACAATTTCGGTTTTAGAGTTTCAGTCCTCTACCCGGATCCGTCCGGTTAACCGTGTGAAAAAAAAGAAGAAGAAAAAAAAAAGAATATTCCGGGGGGACCCTATCGATCAAGGGAAAGAATATAAGCCGTTAATTCAGAGAGGTACCCTACACACCTTAACAAGGTGCCCTTGGTTTCACCCAAAAATACACCCTTCGAGGCCAACAAAGGCTAGGGACTCGTGACTGTGATCGCCAGTTCGCAGACGAAATTACAGATTCATATTATTGCAGCATTATTATTACACCACTTTCTATATTTTATACTCCATCCATGAATGATATATTCCCTGTATGAAAGAAATACCCAGCTGAATTATAATGCTGGTTTTGAGCTGATTTTCTGGTGATTGGCAGCACAAGAAATCCAGGAAAAAAGAAGAGAAAAATCAGGTTTTTTTCCCATCTCTTTTGATTGGGGGCAGCCCAAGACAATGGAGGTTCCATTGACATTTGAGAGACCTCTGGGTTCAAGAACAAGAATAATCAGTAGCAGTAGCAGCACATCACAAGTAAATCTTTTCTTCAAGACTAAACCTTTCTTTGGGGTCTTCCCACATGACTGCACCACTCTATCCGCACAGGTAAATTTGTTTTTCCTCTTCTTGTAATTGATTTTTCTGATTTCCTGTGTTTTTTTTTGTTTTTTACAATTATAAGTTTAAGGAACCTTTTCTCTGTTAATTTTCAGTTCTGGGTTCTTGGTTCTTGATTGGAATTAGTTGCCAATATTGTTTTTTGAGAGATTTATGGCCTCCATTGGATTGATTTGGTGGTTGGAATGGACTTAGTTAGATTTAAGTTGCTAGGGATTTCATAAAGTCGTATTTGAAATGATGGGAATTGACAGATCCCGAGAATTGCTCATAACCTATGGTGGGTCAGGCACATAATGCCTACAATTTTCTTCATGTATTTATAAAGCCAGGGTCTTTCCTGGTTTATGATTTATTTTTTTCGACTGGAAACATGGGCATCAGAAAGTAGAATTAAGTCAGGAGGCAGGAAAAGGTGTAGTGTAGGGTTAAGGGAATGTTGTGTTTTTTTTACTAATATACCCTTTTTTATGTTATATGTGTGGGTACTACTCTCTTTTTTTATGGGGCATCTTGACGCTCACTGATATCTTCCTCCAACCCTTATCTACCCCTAACTCACAAATTAAATATGTCTTTTTAAAACACTTCTCTAGTGAATGGCTAAAAGTTGATTTTTGACACTATACCCATTGATTTGCTGCAAATTTCTCTTTAATTCTTTCTGCATTTCATGTAGTCTTCTAAACAGAACAAAGTTCAAGTGGGGGGACGGTTTCTACATCATATTAGTGCAAGTGCAGGTTGGTTACTTCTGTTGGTATGCTTCTTGATGTAAATTAAAAAAAGACTATACTCTGTATTTATTTATTTTTTGAATAATCCATTAGTACCTCTTTTTTATGAAGAATTTTCAAAAAGGAAGAGAAGAGTTTCAACTCCAGGAAGCGAAGGATCTTCCCCTAAAGGATTTTCACCAAGAACAGCAGCTGGAATGAGTAACCGAAGAAGGGATCAAAAGAGCAAGAATGAAAGAGAAAGTCAAAAAACTTCAACATCCAAAGAATCTGAAGCCCCCTACAAGAAAAAGATTGATACCAAAATTGATGGCAATGAAGATGATATTCAAGGAGTTGAAGAAGAAGAGGAAACTGGAGATCAAGAAACTGGTACCGATTTAACTCAGTTTGCAAGTAATGGAGCAGCCAGAAAAGTTACAAGGAATCGAATAAATTCAACTGAGGTGGAAAGAGTAGCAACTGGTGGTGCTTTAGTTGTTTCAGATAGAACCAGATTAAAGGATATGTCATTATCTGATAATGAAAGTTTCCAGTTCAAGAATTTGAAAGAAACATCCATTGCTGAAAGTATCTTGGGAAGTGATGCTTCAAATGAGATAGATTCCGAGGTTATTGTAAGCGGACAAAAGGAAGACGGTCACTCTCTAAAGTTAAAGCTTGAGATGGAAGCAAATCGAAAAAGGCAAGCTGTTGAAAGGCTTGCCGAGGAAAATTTCATGGGAAAGAACAATTTTTTCTGTTATCCCGAGGAGGTAAAACCCGATGAAGAGGTGGAAATATTTCTTAACAAAAGTCTCTCCGCTTTGAAAAATGAGTCTTGTGTAATAATCACAGGAGGATTTAACGACTGGCATTGGAAATCTTTTACAATGGATCTTAACAAGACAGATTTAAAAGGAGATTGGTGGTCTTGCAGGCTTCATGTTCCCAGGGAAGCATACAATATTCATTTTGTGTTTTTTAATGGAAAGGATGTCTACGAAAACAACAATATGAAAGATTTCTCTATAACCATAAAAGGTGGTATGACTGCTCTTGACTTCGAAAATTTCTTGCTTGAGGAGAAGAAGAGAGAGTTGCAAAAGATGGCCGAGGAAAAAGCACAAAGGGAAAGAGAAGAAGAAGAAAGGAGAAAAATAGAAGCAGAGAAGGCTGCAAGTGAGGCTGATAGAGCTAAGGCCAAAGGAGAGGTTTCAAAGACAAAGAAAATGCTGGAAGCTGCAATGGATAAGGCCTTAAAATCTGGTGGTAGTGACAACTGGTATATAACACCGGAAGATTTCAAATGGAAGGAGAAGATTAAATTATATTATAACAAAAGTTCGGGCCCGCTTTCCCATGCTAGGGAAATATGGGTTCATGGAGGACACAATAATTGGAAAAATGGTGTGTCTATTGTCACACAGCTTTCTAGATCCAAACGGAAGGATAGTGACTGGTGGTATGCCGATGGTGTGTGTATTAATCTTCTTGAACTTGAAACATATTTATGTTTATTAAGTTTCTACTTGAGTCAGAACTTTTTTAGTCCCCATACAAAAAAACCAACTTATTAATAGAACTGTGACGTGTTCCCGCCCATAAGTTCAGATTTTTCTGGCACTCTTGGAACTTAAGGGTCAGTTTAAATGGAAGGTTTTTGAGGCTTTTTTGGACAGATAGGTCTATATATCTTGATATATACTTGAGATTTCGTAAAAATGAAGTATTGGCATAATTGGTGATCATATAGCATTTATTTGTTTTTAGAAACTTTCTTTTAATCAAGATACGGAGTATAAACTAAGCCCTTCAAAGCTCTACCCTCTAGAACCCTTCAAAACCCTCTATCCAAACAGACCCTTAGCTTGTTTTGTGATACTTGCATAAAGGTTTTATTTCCTCTCTATTATTCTTCAGTTGTTGTTCCTGATAGAGCACTTGTCCTGGATTGGGTTTTTGCTGATGGGCCGACTGGGAATGGAATGGTTTATGATAACAATTCTCGGAAGGACTTTCATGCCATTGTCGTAGGAAAACTCCAGGAAGAACTGTATTGGGTTGAGGAAGAACATCAGATATATATGAGACTTCAGGAGGAGAGAAGGTTAAGGGATGAGGCAATTCGGGCTAAGGTCAGTTTCTTTTAATCAAGATATTTAAAATGTGAATTGTATCATTAGAGCCAAGGGGTCGTGTTTGGGTTGGGAAATGCATGTTCATGATTCAGCGTCATCAAATTCGAGACGACCCAACATGCTATATGATCATTTACTTTAAGAATACTTAAATTTATATTAGTACTTGCATTTTGCATATAAAAGTAATAACATTTCGAAATGCATATATTATTTTTCCAAAACACTAATACTTTCTTTTGAATTTTTGATTATTTTTTTGGATACATACAACAATATTTTAAATAACATAAAATATTTACGTTGCAAAAAAAAGTAAGATAACAACACGACATCATTATAACATTTTTTTATCAAATTATATTTCATACTAAATTACATGATTTTGAAAAAACTTACCTTAGCAGGTCGGATTTTTGTTCGGTTAACAAAATCTTTGTTCAAAACTCAGTATTTTCAGGTCGGGTCAACTTTACATGGACGTAATTTTAACTATTTTAATCACTCGACTTTCAAAAGTTAACACTGTTCCATTTGCAGGCTGAAAGAACAGCGCGCATGAAGGCGGAGATGAAAGAAAGAACTCGGAAGTCATTTTTGTTGTCTCAGAAACACATAGTATACACTGTGCCTTTTGATGTTGAAGCTGGGAGTACAGTCACAGTTCACTATAATCCTGCTAATACAGTCTTAAGTGGAAAACCTGAAGTCTGGTTTAGATGCTCATTTAACCGCTGGACTCACCGCTTGGGCCCACTGCCACCTCAGAAAATGCTTCCTGTCAAAAACAGTTCACATGTTAAGGCAGATGGTAAGACTCCAAATGCTATTATAACAATTTTACGGCCATCTCTGTTTCTGTATTTTTTCAAAGTGTATGCTTGGCATTATATCTTAAACTCTTTGCAAGTTTGGAAGTGTTTGTCAAGTATGACATAAAAATGCTTTTCATCTTTCGTTGACTCGGAGTATCAATGCTTTGCATGTAATTCTTGTGGTAAAAAATGCTTTTTTTCTTCTTCCATTGGGATGTGGCAGTCAAAGTTCCATTGGATGCATATATGATGGACTTTGTGTTCTCTGAGAAAGAAGATGGAGGAGTGTTTGACAACAGGAATAACATGGACTATCACATTCCTGTGTCCGGATCAATTCTTAAAGAGCCTCCCATGCACATTGTGCATATTGCAGTTGAAATGGCTCCCATTGCAAAGGTATCCTTAATTGGGATTCACTCTTATCTTTTTTACTTGTCAATTTTGGAGCAAGAAAAATGCCAAGGCATCCCATTGCTAAGTTAAACCTACCATAAAAATCATCTATAAGTCGACTTCAGTATGGAATTGGTTATTTCTCTATCACCTAACTAAGAAAAAGAAAATGATATTTTAACCCCGTTGATGACACCAAGATTGACACCACCAGAGACAATCACGAGCATACGGTTATTGGTTGTAAGAAATCGTTGTCTGTTTGATTGGCAGGTGGGAGGCCTTGGTGATGTTGTCACCAGTTTATCTCGTGCCGTTCAAGAATTAAACCACACCGTGGATATCATCCTTCCCAAGTATGACTGCCTGAACTTTACTCAGGTAAGCCTCAACCTATTTACTTGACCAAGTTTCCACATTTGATTTACTTTTTGCGCTATGGTAAGTTGTGGCTTGAAGGGCATTTGAAGTAAAACATTGCCACTAATCTTTTCTGCATAAATTTTTTGTTAATTACTTTTATGAAATTAATTTGCACTTTAAGATTGATGCATCGAGCCATCTACATATTCCATTATTGCATCTACTGCTCAAAACTTCGCAGTTGTCATTCGTTTTCTACTGTTTGTATGTGTCTTGTGTGTAGGTGAAGGACTTACATGTCAAGAAAAGCTATTCTTGGGGAGGAACGGAAATAAAAGTTTGGTTTGGGAAAGTCGAAGGCCTCTCAGTGTACTTTTTGGAGCCTCAAAACGGGTATGCTTACATACGCTGAAAACTATACATCTAGTAGCTCTTAAAACATTTATTCTCTTGCTCAGTAATTTGATTGCTCCAATTTATGTGGTTATTTCTTTATTATCACCCCCACAGCTTCTTTTGGAAAGGATGCATATATGGTTGTAACAATGATGCAGAGAGATTCGGCTTCTTTTGTAATGCTTCTTTGGAGTTTCTACAGCAGGGTGGATTCCATCCGGTATGTTTTACTGTGTTTTTTCCTCCTTGTCCCTCTTCATTATCGTGTATTCTCCCTGAACTATATACTAAATCCATTTGACGGAAATTAATACTTTTCTACTCCGCATATATTTCAAAGGCTGGAACTTTTTTTAAAAAAAATTTCCATTTTTATGAAGAGTCATTTCATGTTAATTATGTAAATCCAGCCAGTGATTTTTTCTGTTTTTTTTCTTTGTAGGATATAATCCATTGCCATGATTGGTCAAGTGCTCCAGTAGCATGGTTGTTTAAGGAGCAATACCGCCACAATTCTCTGGGTAAAGCTCGTCTTGTCTTCACAATCCATAACCTTGAATTCGGTGCACATTTCATTGGCAAAGCAATGCAATACTCGGATAAAGCCACAACGGTAAGTTTTTCATTTTAAGTGATCTACCTTTATTTATATTCCATTATTGCATTGTGGAAGCTGTGCAACTTATGCCTTTTCTCATGTTCATACTTGTAGGTATCGCCCAATTATTCGAAGGAAGTGTCCGGAAACCCAATAATTGCCCCACACCTTTACAAGTTTCATGGCATACTTAATGGGATTGATCCCGACATCTGGGACCCGTTGAATGACAAATTCATCCCGGTAAGTCATTTATCTTTTTCTTGACTTTTGTGGGATTTTACTGGGTTTTTTGTTGTTGCCGTTGAAGTTTATGATGCATAAATTTTCCTTGTAATTTTCTATACAGATTCCATATGCCTCAGATAATGTTGTTGAAGGGAAAAGGGCAGCAAAAGAAGCTCTACAACAAAGACTAGGGCTGAGGAGAGCTGATTATCCTCTGGTGGGAATCATTACCCGTTTAACGCACCAGAAAGGACTCCACCTCATTAAACACGCCCTTTATCGTACAATGGAACGTAACGGACAGGTAAACCCATGTTTATACCATGACAATAGAATGATTAAAATCCAATATGATCCCAACTCCATATTTCAAAAAAAATAAAAACAAAAACAAAAAAAACAAAAACCAAAAGCGTTTTGCCAAATGACACCCAAGTGCTTACATATTCACCAAGAGTTTATCGGACAAAAAAAATTCCAACTTTCTAAGGTACTTGTAAAAGCTAAATAAATTGCATTGGGGTTTCACTCTCCTTTGCTGTTTACTATGGATTTAACTAGGTTTTTTTTGTCCTATGGCAGGTAGTCTTGCTAGGGTCAGCACCCGATCCGCGCATTCAAAATGAATTTGTAAATTTGGCAAACCATTTTCATTCAGCTTTTGCTGACCGTGCACGTCTCTGTCTAACATACGATGAACCTCTTTCTCACCTGGTATATATATATATATATATATATATATATATATATATATGCTCTCAGGCAATGTTTGGTAATTTGTAATGCAATGTAATGGAATCAATGCATAGTACAAAAGTCTACTACTACGTATTTGATTCCATTGCATTGCATTGGAGCTTACCAAACTTCGCCTTGTTATTTTCATAGTTCTGTAATGGTTGGCCATTTCTAATACCAAATCCTTCATTGTAAAATATGATTGCAGATATACGCCGGTGCAGATTTTATCCTTGTCCCTTCTATATTTGAACCATGTGGACTAACTCAGCTCATAGCAATGAGATATGGTTCCATACCCGTTGTTCGCAAGACTGGAGGCAAGTAGATTAAGAGTTTGTTCTCTTCAACTTATACTTATTACTTACTACATATTACCTATTCTTATTGGAATCAGATCAGAACATATAAGATGAAAAACAACTCTAAATATAACTACAGACCAGATCAAACCTTAATAAAATCAGATGAGACGGAGAAAACAAGATTGGATCTTTTTTATTGGATCCGGTGGATTATTTCATTCTCTTCTTGTCTTTGTAGTTTGTACTTGTATCAATATCAAATTATGCTACAAATAAACGAATTTGTGTGTTATATAGGACTTTATGATACGGTGTTTGATGTGGACCATGACAAGGAGAGAGCCGAAGCTTGCGGCATTGAACCAAATGGGTTCAGCTTTGATGGTGCGGATGCGGGCGGAGTTGATTATGCTCTCAATCGGTAAGTACATATATACATTTGAATTAGGAAAAAAAACATGAAGCTCTAACCTTTTCCTTTAATCTTTTAATAAGTTTTTGTTCAAGGTAGGTAGCTCTTAGGGTTGTTTTAAGGTAAAGACGAGAGAGCATCTCGTAGGTTGGAATAAAAGGGAAAGAAAGAAGGTTGGGTTTTATTTTAACCAATGAACTGTTCCAGTTCTTACGTTAAAGACAATCCTTAGGGTTGTCTTTAGCAAACTCCAAAAAGAATACCTAAAATAAAAGTGGTTGAAATTTGAATCTCAACTCTCTCAACCTTACAATATACTATCTTTGTCTCAATATATTCGTCAATTTTATTTTTTCCCAATCAAACTAAACAAACTTTGATCAATGTGATTATGTGAAATGTATTGCACATTAATATGGAGTGAAATTTTGATTTTTTAACGAATCATTTTCGTACTAATATGCAATGCAGCTTTCATTTAATTGCTACCTTGATCTCAAATTTGACACCATGAATGTATGTGAAATGTTGCAGAGCGATATCGGCTTGGTATGACGCACGGGATTGGTTGAACCGGTTGTGTGCGAAGGTGATGGAGCAAGATTGGTCTTGGAATCGACCCGCTCTCGACTACTTAGAGCTTTACCACGCTGCTCGCAAATAAATAAATAAATAAATAATGCAATCTCCAAAACTTTTTCCCGAAAATTTTGTGAACTCATATTGTTTTATTTATTTATTTAATACAGCTCGTAAGGAAATACCATAGTTTAGTGCCCAACACTAAAGCAGATTATTACAGTACAGAAATGTTTGTGAGAATTGTAATAAAAATGGATGGTGTATATTAACATGATGAAAAAAACGGATTTGTTCTTTCCAACTTTTTAATATTCCCTCCGTGTTCCTAAAAGAATGCCACAGTTTGACTTTTTTGTCAAACTATGACATCCTTTGACCGTAAATCATGAAAAAAGTATATTTTGTTATAATGTAAATCTAGTAAAAATGAGTTTATTTTAAAATATAATTTTAAAATATCAAAATTTTTAAATATTTAATTATTTTAAACTATATTTAATTTATGGTCAAAGGGTATCATACTTTGACCAAAAAAGTCAAACTGTGCTAATTTTTTAAGAACGGAGTGAGTACTAGTAAAACTAATATTGTATTGAGCCTTCATCTTCCAAACCCCAAATTTTCACTAAAACTAAGACAAAAATAACGAGCTTTACATATGTAAACTTAGTTAACTATTTTTATACTAATTTTTAAATAAATTAATTTTAAAAATTCAAGATTTTACTTCGTAAATGAGAAATTTTAATTCAATTTAGAACTGAGGGAGTAATACACTCCATATATGTATAGTCTGAAACATATGTACCATATAAATTTTATTATTCTAGTTCGATACTAGTTTGAAACTTTAAAGTTGAAGAGCAGGTGGGATTGCGTAGTTGGTAAAGGTATAGACTTTGAGTTCGGTTCTGGGAAGACAATTATGCTAAATATAAAGCTTTTGCAAGTACAAGATAAAAGTTTCACTTTTTGACGTTAATTTGTAATCAAAATTTAATTTATTTTCTTCTAGGGTTTTATGGATCCACCCCAGCCCAAGCGGAAGGAGGTGGCGTGCAACAAAAAGGATTTTTTCAGGTGAGGGATATAATGTACGGAGTCCCAATCCTTTATATCATCATCCTTTACTTCTCGGAATACCTAATTTTATTTTATTTTTCTTCTTCGTCTTCACGTCTTTGGTGAGTTCGATATATTTCTCTTCGACCATAATCGTACTCCGCTTTATTTTCTCGGATTTCAATCCCTGTTTTTTTGTTGACAGATCAAAGTCCGGTACTCGCCATGGCGAAGAGTTCATTCAAGCTGGAAAATTCTTTCGGTATATGATCTTTCCCTTCGCCTTTCCCAGGTCTAAGATTGAGTATTCAATACGTAAGACCTGTAATTCTATTTCTGTTTGCTTGTTTTAAAAATTTGTTGTGATCTTCTTAAAAAATAAACTTAAATTTGTTTTGTGTCGATCTGTTTATACCAACATGATTGGATCAGTGGTTGAATTTTGGTAATACAGAGTAATAATTAGGATCAATTGGTACTGTAAGTGCCCTGATGTGGAGTTTTATGTGCTTTTTAGGTTTAAGATCATCTAGATTTGTTTTGTTCATGTTTTGTGGTGTAGTTTGGAAATATGTAATACAATCAATTCTATGCGTTATGTAAATTTGTACTCAATTTATATTTAATTGCATTACTTGTCATGATAGTCTATCAAACTACACCTTTTGAATTTGACAATTTTCATCCTCAGTGTAAAAGTTATTTTTAGATTGAAGAATCCCTTCAACTAGTTATATGAAGGCGATTAGATGTTGTCGTGGTATAGCTACTCCCTCCGTCTGAAAATGAAGTTATCGTTCCCTATTCACAAGGGTTAAATTATGTTGACTTTCTTTGCCTACTTTTTTACTCATTTTATAAAATAACATGATTAGATTATGTCATCTCTTGTTTTGTAGAGCTTTTGATGTAGTTTTTAAATATGTAAAATTTATTTTTTAATTCTACACAAATTTTTAAATATATTTAATTGAGAGTAATTCATGTCAAACATTGTAAAGTGACATAACTACAAATTGAATCTTTTTCCCGACTTGCACTGTTTGATGGTGGTGGCTACCCTGAGATTGTAATGTTCTAATATGGAGTTCTTGGTTTGAGTTGTCTGCTGCCATGGTTTCTAATGAATATAACTTTTCTCCCTCTTGACTTCCAAGTTTTTCGTGATTAATGATGGTGGGGGGTGATTCGAAATGAGGGCAATATCATGAAGTAACACTCTTTTGCAAAATTAGAAAAGCGGTCTTTATTTAGGAACACTTTAAGGGGTTGTTAATTACGGAGTATTTAGTAAGTAGTTCTCTGGGGAGCTTTTATTGTGATAAAATATATTTTTTAGTTAAAGGGCATGCTATTAGAAGTGATTAATTATTTCTTCGGCCTTAATTTTTTTTCAATTCCTTTTGGTCAGAGAGGAGGCTGGCAGAATCGACTCGCATCCGGGAGAAGTATCCTGATAGAATCCCAGTAAGAAAAGTCTCTTATTACTATTGGTTCTGGCTTTCTGTTCCTGTAATGCTTTCTTTTACTTTGTTTTTCTTTTTTTGCATTCAGGTGATTGTTGAGAAAGCTGAAAGGAGTGATATTCCTGATATTGATAAGAAAAAGTAGGTTTCTACATCTCCATCAACATATTTCTTTGTACGAAATCACTTTGTTCATTATTTCATGTTTTGGAATGTAACGATGTAATTTTTGGTATGCTTTTGAGCCTTAGCATGTTTTTTTGGTGGTGCTTTGAATTTTTTCTCTTGTACTTCAGCCTGTAGCTTGTGCATGTGCGCTTTGGGTCTTGTTACTAGTTTCGGTATGTGTGCTACCGCCTGCTACGTGTCATTGTGCACTTTGTTCGTGCGACTGTGTATTTGTCTATTCTTTTGTGTTCATATTCGTGGGTCTCTTGGAAACCTCTATATTTGAGTAGAGGTAAGGGCTTCGTACACACTCCCTCTTCAAACCCCATTCTGTTTGGGATTCTACTGGGGTTGTTTTTTTGTTTGGTATGTAACAATGTAGTGTAATTGAACTTGAAGCTTGAGTTATAGGAGTAAGTTAGGCGTAGAGGGTACCTTTTTAGGGGTTCATATTTTTTGTGTGATGATTGCTTTACTCTTATTGTTCATTGTTTAATATTTGATTGAGTGTTCATAATAATATTGTAATAATAATTGCAATGCCTAACCTTTTTTTCGGGAACTTAGATACCTTGTCCCAGCTGACCTCACTGTAGGGCAGTTTGTCTATGTGGTCCGAAAGAGGATCAAACTTGGTGCCGAGAAGGCTATATTTGTCTTTGTCAAAAACATGCTGCCACCAACAGGTGAGTTCACACTCTGATTCGTCCTCCTAGTGTTATACAAGAGCATTTCTACAACTGTGGCTCTTAATTTCAATAATTACTTTGTTGTTCCTATGTTGGTTCATCTCTAGAGTACAATGCCGTGAGTTCCACACATAAGAACAGGTTCTTATAAAAAATGGTAACCCCAAGGTTCTTTTGACACCACATTAGGTTGTCATATTATGACACTGGTCCTTGGTGTCAAAAGAACCGGAAAAGTCATGGTTTCCCAAGTGATAATTTGTTTTTTCTATAAATTTACAATACCTTGGACATTATTTAAGAACTCAAACATGTCTTTGCTCTTTAGTTGTTTCCTTCTGATAATTCATTTTTAATTTGTGCATATGGTTGCAGCTGCAATGCTGTCTGCAATTTATGAGGAGAACAAGGATGAAGATGGGTTCCTTTACATGACTTATAGTGGGGAGAACACATTTGGGGTGTGCATTTAGTTGGAGATGGATTGGAAATTTCTTAATATGTACATCCTTTGATTTCACCCTGCTAGACAAAATTGAGTTTCTTCGGGAACAACATTTGCATTTAGTGTTAGAGTTCGGATTTTTTTTAATGGTGCAGATTAATTTTTAAATGTTACTGTTAAAGATTGTTGTTGGATACGTTTTCTCAAGTGTTAAAAAGTTAATGCCAAACACAACCTTAATATGTTGTGCATGGTTTTGGGCCATTTACCATGTCCTGAGTAATTAATTAATTGTAATTCTTTGATTTCATGAAGTGTAAGAAAGTTGTTTGAAAAAAGAAAAAAGTTGGTGGTTGAAATTTATTTTTTTTTAAAAAAGACAAAAGGTGTGCATCAAATGTTTTTTTTACTTTATTTGAAAAACAAAGAAGTGAAAAAATTATATTGAAATAACTCAAAAGAGCATTGTGATATTTATTACTTTTATGTGCTTATTTTGTGTTATTTGGGTTTTATAAAAACTCTTCCAAAGGATGGCCTTATGACGTTCATTTGGAGTAGTCTTTAAGTACTGCGTGTAAAAAAACTTTGATGACTCCATTAGCAAAATCCATCTTGACAATTTCGCGCTTACTCTCACTTCAACCTTATATTGTATCATGCTGTCTGTGTTGGATCAAGCTTTAAGGACCATATAACTCTTGACCTCCCCTCTAGTATATGATTAGTCTATTTTTATGTGTCAATCATCTTGAAACCTCACAATAAATTTTACGGAACACACCGCACGACCTCTATCTAGAAAAGTTTGGACATAAAGCTTGGATCGCAGATCTCCACTTCGGTGGGATACACCACTTTTTATCTGTCAAATCATCTTGCACCGTCACTATAATTTTACTAGACATGTCGTCTGGCCTCCTCTTGTCAAAAAGACTTTCAACACTGCAGATCTTCTTCCGGTCTTGGTACTGTTATTACACCGTCACAACGAAACTTTCTCACTCAGCACAGTTCGGTACTCACACCCACTTCTAATCTCCTACGCTTCAATACCATATGTTGGGAACGCAGATACTCCTACACAAGGTATTTATCTGCTACTTTACGTTTTAAATAAAACTCTCGCTGATTTATTTTTGGACATCTTTGAAAAGTCCTTGGGCATTTCTTTACACGGTCGCAAGTTATGGATCGTGCCCAACTTTAGCTCAAGGAAGAATGTGTTTTTCAAGTGGCTGCATTGACTTTTCACCAACTTATGGTCAAAGTCTA